AGGAGGGCCTGGCGTGCTCTGGTCCATGGGGTCATGAAAAGTTGGACGTGACTTAACGACGAAACAACAACCTGTATGAGGGACCAGGCATCTCAGATCAGATATGCAATATTAACAACACACCTTTCTAGAGTTTGGAAAAGTTATGTTTTCGGAATGCATCTCTGCTCTGGAGAATTCAGGAAGTTATAATATAATAAATTATATCTTCCAAGCTCTGGATTATCTGTGGGTACGGGTTGCTCTGCTTATGGGCATTACTACAGCTGGACCTGCAACATATGTCTAAATAGGTAGCCAGGAGAAGCCAAGTAGAGTGGTCTCGAAGCAACCAGGCAATATGAAAAGATGGGAGCTAGGAACTCAGGGGACATAAGCCTTCCACTGAGTCAGTCCGTTGGCTCATCAAGCCCAGTGCTTTCAGCTCTGATTGGCAGGAGAAACTGCCTGGGGTTTTTAACAGGAATACTTCCTGCTGGTCTCCCATCCAAATATTAACCACACTTGATCCTGCTGGGCTTCTGGGATGGTGCATTTGTTCTGCTCCACTTCCATTGACCCAATAACTTAAAATGTTTAGACTGGTTCTACTCACCAACCACATGGCTACATACAGCTGGAAAAGATTTCCAGTGCTTTCACTTGGCCTCATCATCTTCTCCAAAGATAGATTCACTTGATCTCTTCCTTCCTATGCCTCTTTCTCTGGCCAATCGGAGTATAAATAATTCCCACACACATTTGTTGTGATTGTTATGTGATATCAAGTCACCTCTTCAACAGCTCAGTTCAGGTTGTGCAAACTCAACCCAATGGCTTCTTTTAGGGAGTCTATCCATCTCCTATTTGGTCTTCCTCTTTTCCTGCTGCCTTCAACTTTTCCCAACATTATTGTCTTTTCAAGAGCCTCCTGTTTTCTCATGCTGTGCCCCACATGAACACACACAGTAATCCCAAAAAGTTACTTTCTCAAGTGTTTTAGCAGGTTTCTTATGAGAGCTCCTTTCTGCTGGAGATGCCAAGAGTTAAAAATGGGGGCTTCTGTGCTAAATTTGTGCTTAGCCATCGACTGCCACCCCTTTAGATGTGCAGAAAGAAAGCTGGAAAATTAAGCTGGGTGCGAAATTTCCCTCAGATCCATTTTTTTAAAAGTGTTCGTGATCTCTTCATTCCAAGCTTCTGCTGGAAAAAGAAAAAAGACATAACTCTGCTGTGGGGGAGAAAACAAATAAGCTGTGAAAAATGATTTCTTGAGATCAAAGAAATAAGTCTTCAGGCTCAAAAGAAACAAGAAAACTGTTTTGAAGGGGAGTCGTAATGATGAAGCTGAGGATGATACCATTTGAATCCTTTTACATCTTTCCTTGTCTATTTTGTTTTTTGGGGTGGGTGGGTTGCCCCATTATCTTTGCTGGAAGCTTTTGAGTATCAGCATAAGATTTTGCAAGTCTTATCTTTCCTTTGATAAGCTTCAAGAGGAAGGCGAGAGGGGAAAAAAAACTGGCCGCAGAAAAAGCTCTGAAGTAACTGGAAAGATTCCCAGGCACTGTCTACATTTACTCTCCTGGCATATTAAAATGTGATTCATCTTTTTAAACAGGCAAATGCACTTAGCAATTTCTGGCTGAGTTTACCATGGAGGTAGAAGACAGGGTGGACAGGATCCGTCAGGGAAGGTCTCCTACCTAAGCTGCACAAAAACAGCAAAGTTCTTGGCATTACTTTTTGTAATTATAACTCCCAGAAGCCTTCAGCCAGCATAATCTATGGCCACACTGGCCAAAGGATACTGGATTCTGTAGGCCAAAAGAAAAAGCAAAATTATTCTGGAACATGAGTTCTTCTCAGCTCCATAGGTTTTGGGAAGGAAGTCCATTCCAGAAGATTGTGGGCAGTTTCTATATGAAAACTCTTTTTCCAATGCTCAAGCTATGAGTTACTCATTATTTAAGCAGCCCGAACTGCACTATCCACACAACAGAGGACATGATCAGGTTGCAAAGTACAAAAAAATCTTTTGGGGGAAATACAGGAAGAGATGGCATCTCCGAAACAATTTAGAAAAGACCGATTACACATAGAGGACTTGGAATGCTGACTCCTAAGGGGCATGAAGTACTATCTATGTATCTATGTATCTATGTATCTATGTATCATGAAAACTCTTTTTCCAATGCTCAAGCTACGAGTCACTCAGTATTTAAGCAGCCCAAACTGCACTATCCACACAACAGAGGGCATGATCAGGTTGCAAGTACAAAAATTGGGGGGGAGGGGGAAATACAGGAAGAGATGGTGCCTCCAAAACAATTTAGAAAAGACCGATTGCACATAGAGGGCTTGGAAAGCTGAATCTGGGGGGGGTATCTATCTATCTGTCTGTCTGTCTGTCTGTCTGTCTGTCTATCTATCTATTTATATATATCCCGCTTATCTGGTCTTGCGACTATATGGGAGGTGGAATGGTACCTCATGGAGAAAGGCATCGCTAGCTTTAGTTAAATAAGTAGCAGTAGCCTTTCATATGCTATGAAAAAATCCTTATCATCCTTATCATCATCATCATTATAGAACTGCAGAGCTGGAAGGGACACTATGGATCATTGAACCCAATGAGCTGGAAGGGACCCTATGGATCATCGAAACCAGTTCCTTTCAAGGAGGCAGAATGGGGAATCAAACTCCCAACCTCTGGCTCCTCAGCCAGAGACTTAAACTAGCTCTCTGAGCTATCCGGCAGTTGCTACTCCCAACCTCTGGCTTCTCAGCCAGAGATCTAAACTAGCTCTCTGAGCTATCTGGCAGTTGCCTGTATATCCTACCATCTACCTTCTACCCCTTCTCACCTCTTTCTGCCTTGGTATACACTGCATATTATAATTCCTAGCTCTGCCAATACATGTAGCCCAGCATTTCTTATTTTTGAAAATGGCTCCTTGATTCGCACCTAATCAATTTCTCTCATAGAAGTTCAACCGTAGAGGCTATGCCATTCATTTTGAAAATGTCATTTATATGGGTTGCAGATCAGCACATCCCATAAGCAATTATTCACCATATTTTTCCATGTATAAGACGCTACTTTTTCCTAAAATCATTACACTAAAAATTGAGGGGCGTCTTTTACATGGAAGTAAGCTGAGAACATGGCGAGAACAAAACTACCCATACCTTGCCTCTAAACAGGCTTCCTTCAGCCACGAGGCTTAGCTGCCTCCAGTCAGGAGACTTAGCTTCCTCCAGTCACGAGCCTTATGGAACTGATGTCAGCTGATGCTGAACAAACCAATTGGAACACACCTTGTTGGAGGTGGAGCCTGTAGGCTCAGATTCAACAGGGACTCCTAATGTCCGAGCAATCTGAGCCCAAAGGCTGAATCCTCAAAGCTATGTTTTCTTAATTTTGTGGTTAAAAAAGTTGGGGGTGTCTTATAAATGGGGGCATCTTATAGGGAGAAAAATATGATATGTAACATGTGTAAAAACATACAGAACAGGCAATCAGCTGTGATAGGACGTACTACCCACTTGCGAAATATTTGCCCCCAACCAGTTCTTTGAAAACAACCTAAGAAAAATATTTATACACCAAAAAGAATCTCAGAGTTGGATTTACTCAGTATGGTTAGGAAAAAAATGCCAAGTATTCTGTTCTTGGAACTCTGTACTCCTTACAAAATAGCGTTGAACAATTTGCTAGCATATACAGTACCTATTTCTGGATCAAGAGCAAAGCTTCCCGGGAAGCAAAATATCTGCTACTACAAAATAAGTAAGATGAGATCTCAGCCAAGCAAGAATCGTAGTACAGGTATGAAAATATTGTGCCACTGCAAAACCAATCCGTTTGGGTACCATTCACAAATATCAGCACAGAAGAAGGAAGTACTGCCCTCATGCTGAATGGGCTTCTTGACAATGCTTAGAATTGCACATCCATTGAATGGACAATACCTTTTCCTGGCTTTCCCTTTAAAATAACCCAAAGTGGAAAAGCATTTTCTGAGTCGTAAGCAAGTTCATGAAGCAGATGTGCTGTTCTGGACTCAGTCCCATTCAGAATGCAAGCAAGCTACACTTTTCCGACTCATCCCCATATCTAATCAGACAAGTATATTAGCATGCAAGAATGTGAAGTTCTAGCTGTTAAACATTCAGAATCTTTGCTCAAGAATTGTTGCATTTATAACACCGTTTTAATGTACTAGCGGGGGAATTAAGCCATACTAAAGCTTTCAAACATGAGATAGATCCTATCCCCAACCCCACATTCTAATTGGGAAAGTGCTAGGAGACCTTGCAGTTTTTCTGAAAATCTGGAGTGGCTCTCAAATTAGAGTTTCGGGAACCACCCAGAAATTAAGAATTTAAAGAGAAAGCCACATAGGTTGCCTTCCATCTGACGTTATCACTTAATTTGCCAAATTAACTCTTAAAAATGGCTTTAAATCAATCTTGGAAGTTAAAGTAGTGAATGGATGGTAAACGGGGATGCCCAGCAACTTAGCAACAGTGTCCTTGTTTGTAAATCAAGTTCACATTCTTACGACATTTTTACCGTATACAGAAATTTGCCTTTAGAACAACCATACAGTAAAATGAGTCAAGGCTATAAGCAAGTACATACGCAAGTTAAGTAATTGTAAAATATGTAAGGAAGTAAATAAATAATGTATGAAATTTATTTTTAAGAGAACATTTACATTACGCTGGCAGTGTCCTCTGTGATAACTCCATAATTCAACTCAATGGTTCCATTTTTCAACTTTGTGGTAAATCGTTAGATTTCGAAGAAATCTAATCACCAATCTCTCTATGGCTTTTTTACACAGCTATGAAGTTCACTTAGAAATGAGGGAGAAGTCAGAACTTCTGAGAGTCACCACTGCTGAGGACAAAACATTATTAACCTTTCCCTCCGTTCTCTTGAGTTTTACCGGGAAAAGTAGGATGGAAACAAAGTAATGATATAAATTGTAATGGAAGGCTATTCAACTCACCAACACAGTATCCCACCAGGTTGAGGTACTGCCCCTCCTGGCAGGGCGTCCTACATCTTCCGTCGACAAAAGTAGCATGGGGCTGGCAGACCACGCAGTCAGCTTCTGAAGATCCATGGCATGTCTTGCAGGAAGGATGACACGCTGAAAGAGAGAAAGATGAGCAAGTGGTCTCCAAAAGCAGTCCATAACTTTGGCCAAGGACAGAACTTTGGTCAAAATCCTGTTGTGTAGTGTAGTAAATCTTACTAAAGAAGGCCCATTGAACCAGTGGAGATTTGATGAGTCTACTCATCCATAAATTCCATTGATTGAAATGGACCTATTCTAACTGCAACTAATTATGCTAAACGAAGTCACAGTTAAGAGTAAGACCATTTGAATCCATGGACCTTGATTTTGTGGCTCAGAAAATAGCTAGTTATGAATGCATATACATGTGTTTTATATCCACATTTATCTATATTCATGGTGTATCATTACAAAGAGAGTTCTTTAGCAAAAAGTACAAACATCCCCATGACACTGAATGCATAGTAGAGATAGGGGTATTCATATATGAATATCCCCCAACAGGTGCAGATAACGAGGGTCCGGCCCCCTGGGGCCAGACCGACCGCTCACCTGTCTGCCACTGCCATGGGCTCCAGGATCCCTTCCTATCACTCCGGAGCATGTGATGGATTAGCCACTCTTTGACCTGGCAGAAAGGCTTGTCATCCCACCTTCTACCAAGAGTGGCCAATCCATCGCGAGCCCCATTCGAAGAAGGCACGAGGGCTCGGAAGAGGGGGGGCTATGAACAGTGGCTCTACCCCCACTGTTCTCTCTACACCCTCACCGTCCTCCAACCTCTTAGATCCAAACCGCCACATATTGAGAGTGGCGTAGAGCAGAATTCTACTTCCCTGTAGTTCTGAATAACATGGCTCATTCTAATGCCATTCAAGATGGAACTCAGTTAGTTTGGAATTCAGTTTCAGGACACCTTCCTCAGTATACAGGTGACTGGAACTCAGATCGTGGGGGGCCCTGCATGCAGGGGAACGCTGGGAGTGGGGCCACCAGCCATATCCGTATCTCTACTCTGAGCTCTCAACGCATGAAAAGGGCTGATGGCAAATTCAGTAGGGACTGCCTACAAAACGGTGTGTCCTCCTATTGGGAGCCTCTAGTATTTTTTAAAGTCTGGATTAACCTCTGGGTGAGAAAGCTATGGAGCCCGATCCCAACCACACAAGGGTCACTGTGCTAGGACAGCATTCTCGAGCCGATTCTGTTCTTTTCCTTGTTGTACCAACTGAAGTGCAGCCATCTGTTGTGCACATACAGACTTAGCTCTTCGTTATCCTTAAGAGAGCATGCCGACTGTACACATAAGCTTTGAGATACTACAAGATTCCAATACACTCTTCTCCCTGTATCTTTGAAATATTTCCTCCTCCATAAACTTTAGATTCTGCAGCAGACTCTAAATGAAAAACAATAATGCAATCTACAGTTACCAAAAAAAAAACCCCTAAAGTTTACCTCACTTGTCGACTTATGGCAAAAGGCGCATCCTTGCCACCCCACCCCCCACCCGCACGATCAGCTGTACACTTTCGCAAGCCATTCCCATTAATAATAAAATGAAAAGAGCCATTTACTGTTATCTCTACAGCTAAGAGCCAGGCATTCCTCTCGATCCGTACTCACAAACCCAGCCTGAAACTAAATGGGATCTTTACAGAAGATTAAGGTCCACTTTAATCGCGGCTTTGAAGTTTCAAACTAACACGCTATAAAGCGAGGAAGCATTGTAGCTGCCAATATTATTACTATCTATGCAGGCAATTCTGTATCTTTTTTGTTTTAGAACATTTTTATATAGAAAAGCACTCAAACATTTTCCCCATCCAGGCATTCTGGAACATCTTCTCTTCCTAAGTCTAACCAAGAGGGATTCAGGGCGCAGCTCCATGGGAGAGGGTGTTCTTTTATATGAATAAGTCAACCTCTGGCATCTTCCATTGAAAAGATCCAATGGCAGAGGACTGAAAAACTTCAGGAAATGATCCTAGAGAAGGGTACAATAAGACAGCAAACCCCCTTGCTGGCAGTCTGCCATGGGGCAGTGCAAAAAAAATATAGATTGTAACTAGACCCTAATGTCACAGTCCAGGATTTATGGAATATAGCACCTTACAGCACAAGGACCTGCTCTTGAATAGGAACTCTTGGCTGGCATCCGTGCTGTCATTTGTGTTCAGCTACAAAACTCTGACCCTCAAGACAATGCACCATTTTGTAAGCTTTTAAAATCTGGTTAAAAGCCTGGCAGCTGATGTCAGAAGAGGAGCGGACCTGTGAAATCCGCCACATGTAAAGCCCTCACGGAATGAAGGTGTGAAGAGGCGTCCTTCCAATCCACTGGATGCCTTGAGGAACATGTGGCTCCAGTGATCTACACACAGCCCCCCCCCCAGGCCAATCACATGGTGGGTGACCTCGTTCATGCAATTTCTCAAGTGAGAAGTCAAGACTTTGGAGGAGAACGAGGCGGACCTGGGCTCCCGTATCCTCAGAAAGGAAAGGTGAAAAGTGGAAGGCAGGCAACACAAAGAGGATTGGGGCATCTTAACGGTTAACCAGTTTTATTTGGCATAAGTGTTCCCAGGCTGCAAGCCGCTGCACCAGCAGGCCTCTGATGAAGGAGGATGCAATCTGCAAAACTGTATGCCAAAATTAACTTGGTAGTCTTTAAGGCTTGTTGTGTGTTTCCCTATTGAAAAAAACAGCCAGTCGAACATGGCGATTCCCCTCGGAAATCTTGTTTCTCCCGTCCGTTGGCAACTAACGCAGCTTCCCCTCCACAAGCAAGATTAAATTTGCATAGAGAGACCTTTTTTCCTAAGTACATCCCCGCTTTATCACCCGAGAGCAGAACAACTCAGGAAACCAGTGAAAAACAGAAAACAAGGCGTTGTTGTCCCTTCTCTCCCTGTCTAAACCCCCAATTGTTCTAAAAAGCGATGTGGATTTATTTTCATCCATGTTTGTTTGGTAATCAGGGAGCTGTATACATCCCACCTCTAGGAAGGGAAGATCACCCTTTCAAAACTCATCAGCAATGAAGAAATATTGATGAGTCTATTGGCCTCCATACAGAAACGGTCTCCCACTCCCCAAAATGTAGAGAGAGGCAGGAGAGGATGCATGGCTCATGGTCAAAGTGGAGGGTTCCCCCACTCCCAAATAATATGCTGAGCTCCGTTAGCACCATTAGCATGCTAATATAAGAAGGGGCTTGTCTACATAGTGGTGATGATGAGCGCCATGAGGATGAAGAGGAATGGTTTTTAATTGGATTGGAAGTCCTACAGATCGATAGCACTGGTAGTGAAATGCACCAGACACCTGCTTCTGGTAGGGAACCAGGTAAATAACCAGGTACACGTGAATAGTGGACTCACCATAACAGCGGGCCTCCCGATGATACCATCCTTCCGGACACTCAGAAAGACACTGGCCTTCATGAAGGATTCCAGGAGATATACATGCTGTGCAATCCCCTGAGAGGTTCCCTGTGCAAGACAGACAGGAGGTGTGGCATTCTGCAGCAGAGAAAGAGAAAAGCGGGGTAGGGCATTCTGGTGAGTCTTATGGGGAGGAAAATGAACCCTGAAACTAGTTCAGCTCATTCACTGGTAGCACAGAGATTTCTGGCAGTATATAAGCCAGAAAGCATGCTGCTTAGATTCCGCCCCATGGTGCTTAAAGCACTCTCTCGGCAATTTATAATTTAATTATGCAGCCTACATGTTGACCCCCCACCCCACCCCAGCAAGCTCAGTTTACTGACCTCAGAAGGATGGAAGGCTGAGTGAACCTCGAGTCAGCTATCTGAGACTGAACCCACGTCATGAGCAGAGTTTTAGGTGCAGTACCAGAAGGATGGAAGGCTGAGTGAACCTCGAGCCAGCCATTTGAGACTGAACCCATGCCATGAGCAGAGTTTTAGGTGCAGTAAAGCAGTTTAGCCACAGCACCATGAGGCTCCTGGAACCCTCAGATTTTAGAAACAGTGTGTTTGATTTAAAGTGTTAGCATTAAAAATCACTACTTGTGCCTTACAACAGGACAAGCAAATTTATGTAGAAGGCTGAGTGAACCTCGAGCCAGCCATTTGAGACTGAACCCATGCCATGAGCAGAGTTTTAGGTGCAGTAAAGCAGTTTAGCCACAGCACCATGAGGCTCCTGGAACCCTCAGATTTTAGAAACAGTGTGTTTGATTTAAAGTGTTAGCATTAAAAATCACTACTTGTGCCTTACAACAGGACAAGCAAATTTATGTATTTAATCTGGTAACGATAACATTTTCACGGTAACATTAAGAAATGCATTCATTTGCTTGTCATCCTGTTTAACTCAAAAGTACCCGTTTTTTATGTCCAACATAAAAATCTAACATGTTTCCAAGCTCTGCATACACTGCTCTCACCAACCTAAACTAAGATATTTGAAATGTTCTTGGAATGATGTGGGGTGGGGAAGCACCCACTTACATTTAGCCTGAAGATGCAAAAACTGAGCAGATGGGAATATAATAGCCCTCTTCAAATCCTTGCAAGATCGTCAGGCACAAAAACTTGTTTCTGCCATAGAGGACAGGACTAGATCTAATGGATTTAAATTATAAACAGCTGGATTTTGATTGAACATCTGTAGAATGTTCTTAACAGGAAGAGCAACCAGAGAATAGATCCCTTTACTAGGTGGGATGGAAAACTCTCCCATGCTATAGGAAGAAGCGGGAGAGCTATATATTATATACTCTCAATCTCCTATAGAGAGCAAGGCTTTGGATTAGATGGCAGTTCTCTGCCTCTGACCCTCCAGATGTTTGGGACTTGAAGTTCCAGAATGCTTGACTATTGGCCATCCTGCCTGAGTCTTCTGGGAACTGAAGTCCAAAAGGTACGGACAGCTACAACTTGATAATTAGTGCTACAGAACAGCCTTCTAACTCGACAGCTTGAAAGTCCTGCTCCGTGCATGTCCTCGCCAGTTCTACGATTTGCCACTCATTAATGACTTTGAGTCAATGTCATCATATAGACCAAGCACTTATTAGCTTGCCTTTCCCCCCAAAAAAACTATATGATCAACAATTTTGCTTGTAGCTGAACACGCTTTGGATACCAATGCTCAACAGCTGCTTTTGAGAAGGAGCATTGTTAATAGAAAACCCTTGAGTGCAACAAAAGGGCTTTTCTCCAATAAATGTCAAAACAAATACAGTGAGCAAAATAACGTTTTACTAGCCCATTATTCCTGAGCAATTTATTAGATAATATTGGGAACAGACAGAGAAGGCAACCAAGTCAGCAGAATCTCTTTTTTAAAACTCAGCAATGTCTATAACCAGGATCTTTGCTTTTCTTAAAGTTCTATTGAGTCTTTTAGTGCTCTTGTGGTTTTATTGTTTACCTCCCCTTAGATCAACTGCACAGCTGGTGGCCATTTCTCACTGCTATGTGTAGCTTTAAAATACATATAGGAATCTTAGGATGTTTGCAGAAACTCAAATCTTTCTTATTCCCTTTTGAAATGGGCAGATCAGCATCTCCTAGATGGATGTGCAGGTTGGAACTGAGCTATCTAGAATGCATTTGCCCTTCTTTAAATACTGCAACACAAATCTTGCTGGCTTAAACGTAATCACAACGCATCTTTAAATACGTGTCTTGAGAGGGGATGTACATTAAAATCGTATTTAATTATTTGTTTGAAAGTTTTATTAATTCACAGATGAACACAGAAACAAAGCAGAATTCTGAATAAAAATAGTGCGGAAATGATAAGTACTGGAAACAGGTAGAGACACTCAACATGACAGATGTCTGACTGTCCCAACAAACTGCTTAAGATAAAAGAAACCTCCCTCTTTCATAAGTCACAAGAAGCTATTTTGTCAACTCACCAGCTTCATGTATAGCAGCCAATAAGAGAAACTGCTGTTTTACTAAAGTAGGCTGTATATCTAGATGCAACGGATGTTGCTCCTTTGGCTAACTGCAAAACCCTACACTTCTTCACTCCAGGCTGGGATCTGTAATATTCCCCACATCCTGGATCTGGGTGTACACACAAAAGGTCAAACTAGATGAGACACTGAGTTTGTAATCCTAAGTCCATTTTTCCCTCCAATAATGCAATATACACATCTAAACAACTAGACTTGCAAATGAAGTCCCTGTTTACTTCCCAATGTCCAATCACAAAGCAGAGCAAGTGGATTAGCAAAATGCATAAATGAGAGAAGCTCAGACCGGGCCCATCAGTGAATGGATGGTAACACAGACAAGCACTAGCACGCTTCTCCATATTTCAACAAACAAGCAGCAGTAAACACACTCTTCTGAATGCTTGGATAGAAAAAAAAAACAATAGCCAAACTAAAGCAGCTAGTCAGCACTGGGAATGTGGACTGATGCAAACAAACAATAGCCAAACTAAAGCAGCTAGTCAACACTGGGAATGTGAACCTAGTGTATAATTAGAACTCACTGAAAAACTAACCATTCAAAAACCACTTGGAAAAGTTTGTATATCCAGTTTTACACATAAATGTCCTGAAGATACAAGATTCCTGTTTGAGGAAGTATAAAGCGCAGCCAAACCAATATGGAAAATGCCATGCACCCCTCACCAGGAAAATAACCATCTCAGTCTTGAGCAAATATTTCCCATGGCATTTACTAAGAACTTGTATTGATTTTAATTGCTTGATTACGATATTTTATTATCCTGGGACACTCCTTTGCTGACCTTTACATATCCCATCTTTATCGAGGTAGAACTGAACTTTGCACTGGGGTAAGCAAATGCCAACTGATGTTCCTTCAATGTTCATTTGTGGTTGCAGCGCGTCCTCTAGCTTGATGCACCGTGCACAGTGGAAATATTCTGGGCCGACGCATTCACGACAAGATGAATGGCAACCTGCAGAAGAGAAATGGGCTGTGAGCCACCAGAAACGCAGCATTGTATCTGTGGAAGATTGAGAAGCCCAAGACGTAGCGAGCAAGACAAGATTCTGGTTAGCATTTTAGTTTGGATGCTTGTTTTGCAATTTCCTTCCCACTTAAGTCATTTCATCCAATATCGTCTCCTGAAAACATTCAGCATCACATGACTCCCCTTCTGAACGAAGGAAGCCAGTTGGATTCAATGAGACATTCCCAAAAAGTCACCGTTTTTACTTTCCTCAAAACCAACCTTGAAAATGTCCGCATAATATTTTAGAGGCAACTAGTCAGTATAGCAGAAAGAGAGAGAGAGAGAGAATAAACTGGAAGCCTTCATTTGTAGGGGTCCAACAGAAAGTCAAGGTTGAGTTACCTCTGCAGATGGTGTGATCCTGATAAAAGCCTTCTCCGCAAGCAGAAAGACATTGACCGTGACGTAAGGCAAGAGGAAAGGAGCAAGAAATGCACTCGGTTGCCAAAGGCCCAACACAACTGGCACAAGATTTGTGGCAAACTGTTAGAGAAACAGAAAAGGGTTTGTGAGTTGTGTATTGTTCAGATTTCTTCCAACCATACTGGCTAGAATCCTAACAGTATTTTCCATACAGAAACTGTAGAAACCACCACAGCTGACTGAGGGGATTCTGATGGCACATCTGGACCCACAGCTAGTTGCCTGTTGTATACAAATAGCACATCATCAATTAACTGGAATTAATTGTGGTCAATTTTGCTTCCATGCAAAGAAAAAACAACAGTAAGATTCCTGGCCAACATTTCTTGTACCCCATGTTCAAGAAAATTTCCATTTCAATAACTCCTATTATGTACGGTAAAATTTATTTCCAACTTCTGATGACCCCAAGAGGATGTCTGAGCCAGAGTTCAAGGAATGGATCACCACTGCCAACTCCTTCCAGTGAGTTTCCACAGTCAGGCTAGGATCTGACCTTGATCTGCTGAGCCCTACTTCCACACACTATTCACTATATCACATCAGCTCTCAGAGGCACCAACAATAACACTACTCCTAAAGCAAGCAAAACTGGGAGGTTTATCAAGGCCCAGTGACCATGCAAATATTCCAGAGTGTAGAAAGTTACTTTTTCACATTACTTTCTACAGTGCTTGAAGAGTACCCACTGTTACTCATTATAATGTTGAGACAACACTCATCATGCTGCTTGCTATGTTTTTTTTTACTTTTAGAAAACCTCAGTGTACAAAAGAGAAATGAAAACAAAAGCTTCAGCAATTCCACCCTAAAATACCTTAAAACATCCTTAAAAATAAACTATCCCAAGTAATGGTTGTTGTGGGTTTTTCGGGCTCTTTGGCCGTGTTCTGAAGGTTGTTCTTCCTTCTCTGTAGCCGGCATCTTCAGAGGACAGCAACCTGTGCTCTGGTCCCAAGTAACTTCATTCCTGCTCATTCTGTTCCTTTTGAGATATATTTTAGTTACATTTCATTGCCCCCAAATGTAATTATAGAAGAGGTAGCCAGGTTGGTGCTCTGTGGTGCTGGAGGAGACTCTTGAGAGTCCCCTGGACTGCAAGGAGACCAAACCTATCCGTTTTGAAGGAAATCAACCCTGAGTGCTCACTGGAAGGACAGATCCTGAAGCTGAGGCTCCAATACTTTGGCCATCTCATGAGAAGAGAAGACTCCCTGGAAAAGACCCTGATGTCAGGAAAGTGAGGGCAAGAAGAGAAGGGGACGACAGAGGACGAGATGGCTGGACAGTGTCTGCGAAGCGACCAACATGAAATTGACAGAACTCTGGGAGGCAGTGGAAGACAGGGGGGCCTGACGTGCTCTGGTCCATGGGGTCACCAAGAGTCAGACACGACTTAATCACTAAACAACAGCCAGGTTGGTTGTGCAAGCATTACAGATAAAAACAAAACAAAAATAAAAGAACAAGAAAAAAACCCAAACCCCGGTGGCACCTTCAAGACTGTTATATTTTAATGTGAGCTTTTGTGGACAAGTCCACTTCCTCAGACATACGGAGTAAAATACAATTGGGTAGTATTCAGATCCCTCCCAAAGCTGGCATGAATGTTTTACTTGGGAATTCTTGTATCTAAATTGATGGCACCTGATTATTTGATTATTATCATATGATATCTGGGAAATCCCAAACCAATCTGACCCTTCTCCATGCCCATTCTAGACCTTTTTGGTCCAGCGGAAGGACTAATCTTTTTTTAGGAGCTGGCTGTAGCGATCAGGACTGGATTGCATGTGCACAAAAGAGTCACTTTAAAGGTGATCATAGCCAGTGAAACAATCTTTTTCAGTGCAGTGTAACACAATCATAGATCACTGTCTGATCGCACCCTTCACCTGTATTCGACAGCTATTTATCCTCACCATTATAAGCCATACACAGCCTTGAAAATCCTCCTGCAATTTATGAATGGCGGGTAGGGGGGTGGTGAAATTTTTTTCTTTTTTTCTTTTTCAGAAAGCACAATGCTTTCTTTCCTTATCTCTGAACTGCCACCAGAAAGTCGCTAGATGCAGTATCACACAAAATGCAGTCTTACCTCTGCATCTCTGGGAATTATCTGCATAGTAGCCGCTGGGACATTCTAACACACAGTTCTCATCATGCAGAACTCTGTCTGCTGCACAGTGTAAGCAGGCAGGACGGTCTGGGTAACACGTTTCACAGTCCTCGTTGCAAGCTATTGGGAAAGAAAGCACCATTAGCGAGCAGCATTTGCCAGAGGGAAAGGGGAAGAGTTCTGTAGTTTCTTTTTTTAACTCCAGCTCTCAGAATCCTGCAGCCAGTGTGGTTGATGGCATACAAGGTCAAAAGCAATGAATATGTGAAAGCTTAGGGGCTACAGAATCTATGGAGTTTGCGGGTGTCAGAGCCGTAACTCACCATTCTGTGCCTTGGGGCCATCAGCATGATCTCCCTGGAACAAAGGGGAAACCCTGGTACCCAGAAGCAGGAGAAGAAGCTGGTGCCCACGCAAGGAAGGATTATGCATTTTAAAAAGGTAAAATGCATAGGGGTCAGGAGGTGTTATGGTTTATTTGCCTAGCATTCATGAGCAGATTCACCTCTGGCTTCCAGTGCCCTCTACATTTTGGTGTCCTGAGGCCAGACCCCAGTTGCTCCACCTTCCTTATGGCCTTGCCCTGATGACCTACCAAACTGAACACATCCAATTAACCATATGCGGAAGCTTCCCAGACCTTCTACACTGGGTCCCTATGCTGCTGGCTAAGCAGGTATGGAGGCAGAAACATCTTCAGCCTTTTTTCACTGCAAATTCAGCAGCTGCCAAGTCAGTTATAGGCCCAATTAACAGTGGTGGTTCTTAACTCTAAAGAGATTGGGAGCCACATACCACTACCCAAACATGCCCCAAACACCTTTCCTGGGTTGAAATATAATCCACACATTGGATCTTCCCTCTCTTACTGGTGTTTCCCTGATTCTGTGTTGGTGGGAAACAAGACCCCAATTTGCATTACTAAAAGCAAAAGCTCATGAAATTGTTTTGGGCATCCGAAATAAACGTGCTAGAAACAATAGACAATGAAGTATGTATGCGTACTTCAAAAGTTTCTCTGATCATTTTCTTTCTCCCTCCCCTCTCCTTATTTGTGCTCTTCTTTGACATTTTCATTCTATTTTTCAAAAATCTGAGATAAACAGTAATCGCGAGTCAGCAGGCTGCTTAAGTCCTTCACGCCTGGAGACTGACTGTTGAAAAACGGCTACGTTTTTCCACAAGGGAGTTATGAAGGGACTTGTAAAGCCCCAAAATAATTTCATTAATACCTTTACTGCCACTCAGCAAGCCAAAGCCCTTCCAGTCTTTCACTCTTTGATTATTTAGAACAATTAAGTCATTTTTTTTTAAAAAAGCACAGTTTAAGTGCCAATATTTATGCTAGTGGGTGTGTCTATCCTCAGCTGATAAACCAGACTTTACACTCAGATAATATTATATTATCTGCCTAAAAGGAGGACGTCTCAAACAGAGAGGGCATGTCAAGTCTAAGAGGTGAGGGGGGAAAGGAAGCGATTCATTCAAAAAGTATGGGGAAATGATGAAAAAAAAGGGATGCCCAAAAAGGTAAAGGTAAAGGTTCCCCTTGACAATTTTTGTCCAGTCGTGTCCGACTCTAGGGGGCGGTGCTCATCCCCGTTTCCAAGCCATAGAGCCAGCGTTTTGTCCAAAGACAATCTTCCGTGATCACATGCCCAGTGCAACTTAGACACGGAACGCTGTTACCTTCCCACCGAAGTGGTCCCTATTTATCTACTTGCATTTGCATGCTTTCGAACTGCTAGGTTGGCGGGAGCTGGGAGAAGCGACGGGCGCTCGCTCCGTCGTGTGGATTCGATCTTACGACTGCTTGGTCTTCTGACCCTGCAGCACAGGCTTCTGCGGTTTAGCCCGCAGCACCACCACGTCCCTCAAAAAGTATGGGGAAATGATGAAAAAAAAGGGATGCCCAAAAAGGTGATAGCAAAAAGTGCCTACAATAAGGTGCTGTGACTTTGTCATATAAGTTGTGTCTTTGTTGGTGGTGAATGGCATTTCTAGGCATGCTAGAGACATACAAATGCATACATACCGGTAAATGAATTACAAACACAGATAAGAATTCTGTTTGCAGAACTCTGTGTAGCAGATCCAAGTAAGGTTTACCTTTGCAAACGCCATCTTTAATGTAGAACCCCTGGCCGCAATGGGCAACACAGAAGGCTTCCAGTAACACGTGAGAGGGGTCTTTGCAGGTCGAACAGTTGTATGCCGTGGGGCCCTGGCAAGTAGCACAGGATTCATGGCAAGCTGCAATCCAGGAAAGAGTTTGCAGGTCAACAAAAGAACCGGCATCTTGTCATTGAACGCCCCTCTTCCTGTATAAGGGGCCAACATTTAAATCAACCTTTGCAGCTACGCTGAAATATTTTGGTCACGTAATGAGAAAAGACAAAAGCAGGTTGTTACAGCTGACCCTTCAGGACAAAATCAATGGTAGAAAGCGCAGGAAGGAGACCCTTTTTTTTCAGTTGAGAGGCCATAGAGATGGATTTGGAGGCCACACATCATTAGGCGCCCCACATCCAAACTCAAAATAGCTCTGATGACATTGAGCTTCTGGTAGGAAAGGAATGGAAAGAAACGGACTGGGAAGAGCAGCTCCAGTTAATAACTTAGTCCCTATGTTCTGGTCCAACTAAATCTTTTCAGATGAAAAGCAAAGGGTAGAAGCCTGGGAATGATGACGTCCAACATGTGCTCTCAGGTTAAGATCTTGGGGTGGAGCAGGGACAGGAATGAATGTAGCTATTAAAGAGCTCCTTCCCTGAAAGCATCCATGCCTAAGGACTAATTTTAGTATTATCTCCAGAGTTGGAACATGTGCCTTAAAAGAGAATATAACCCAATACGGGGGGAAAAAACACCCTCAAACCCTATCTTTAGATCTCCAATTCTCTTGATCAGGAACACTCTGTATAATCTGGATTGAGCCGAAATTGGCCCACATCTATACCATTACCATCCTTAGATATCGAGTTCAGTCTTCCATGGACTGTAGTGGAGAGGCAGAGCTGAGTGTCATCAGAACATTAGTGCAATACCTGCCAAATTGGAGAAGTTACTTTGAAAAAACAGGAGCTCCACCTTGGTTGGTATAGCCAGTCTCTCTCTCTCTCTCTCTCTCTCTCTCTGTCTCTCTCCTTTTGATTCTTCTGGGACAGGCAAAGTGTCCTTTCATGATGCGTTCCCATCACGTGGTCAAAATCTCATTCAAAACTTTGTTCCCACATACTATGCAAACATGGCATGTTTGAAGAGGTCCTCCACAGAGGCAGCTCTTCTAATGCAGTGGTTTTATTACTCAGGTGTTTTTGATGCAAACATGGCATGTTTGAAGAGGTCCTCTACAGAGGCAGGTCTTCTAATGCACTAAATTCCGTTCCCTTTAAAAATAACAGGCCAGAATTGCACCGGACCATTATGCTGGCATAAAGTGCATAATGGCATAAACTATAGCAGTGAAGTGCCAAAGGTTAAGAACCACTGTTCTAATGCACTAAGAAGTTCTGTTCCCTTTAAAAATAAAAGCTCGAATTGCTGGCATAAAGTGAAATGGCATAAACTCTATAGCAGTGAACTACAGCTCTTTTAAGTTGTTGTCTGTATCCCCCATCGTCTGCTAATTGCAACAGCTGGCTCACAAACAGCTCACCACTGACTAAACCCGCTGCCAGACTGCATTTTGTGTGATACTGCGTCTAGCGACTTTCTGGTGGCAATTCAGAGATAAGGAAAGTTGTTGTCTGTATTCCCCATCTTCTGCTAATTGCAACAGCTGGCTCACAAACAGCTCACCACTGACTAGTGCCAACCCGCTGCTGGAATTTACATCATTGCACTTATGCCGCAGAACTGACCAACAGGATTCTAGTCAATAGATGGACATAACATATAAAAAAGCTGGCTGGATAGTTCTGGGAGTTGGGGATCCAGCTGCCCAACCAGAGGTTGGGTGTTTGGTTCCCCAGGAGAAAGGCCAGCCTGTATAGCCTTGGGCAAGCTGCACAGTCCTAGGACACCCCCAGAAGAAGGGATTGGTAAACTGAGTACTCTGTCCCTAGAAAATCTTGGAAAGGGCCATCCTCCATCAGCATTGATTTGACTGCAAATGATTATTATGATTTAATATGTACACAAATGTCAGCTGTCTCAGCACTGAAGTCCAGAAGAAGCTAAAATGTGTGTGCATAGACAATAGAAAACAGCTCTGTATCTTGTGTTAAATTTTGTATAGCAAAGGGAGTTAAGGTAAGGAGCTTGTGGCCCTCCAAGATGTTGAAAGAATGCTGTTCGCATCATCTTTTATCGCTGGACAGTTTAGGTGGTGGGTGCATAGACAATAGAAAACAGCTCTGTATCTTGTGTTAAATTTTGTATAGCAAAGGGAGTTAAGGTAAGGAGCTTGTGGCCCTCCAGATGTTGAAAGAATGCTGTTCACATCATCTTTTATTGCTGGACAGTTTAGGTGGTGGTGGTTGTTATACACCATCAAGTTGCCTCTGGCTTACAGCAAACCAAAGAATGAGCGATCTCCAAAGCATCTGTCCTCAACAGCTCTGCTCAAGCCTTGTAAACTCAAAGCTGTGGCTTCCTCTATGGAATAAATCCATCTCATATCTGGCCCTCCTCTTTTCTGGCTGCCCTCAGCTTTCCCCAGCATGATTGGGTTTTTTTCCAGCGAATCTTGTCTTCTCATGATGTGCCCAAATTGGTATTGATGGGGATATTGGTTCAATAATATCTAGGGAGCCCAGAGCCTGGAAGAAGGCTAGAGAAGATGATAACTCCAAGAATCTTGTGGCCAACAGACAGCCTTGGTTGAGGAATTCTGGTATGTTGGTTGAGGAATTCTAGGAATTGCATTTGAAAAAAAGGGAAAGTTTTTCCAAGACTAAGGAAGATAAGGTCCCTAAAATAGAGGGATGTTACAAACATCAGTTTTACCGACTTTTAGCCAAGCAGAGGGAGCACTTGGGGAAAAGTTGGCACATGTTCCAATTCATGCAAGAGTTTTATTTACACCATGCAGAATGGTTACGGCATGTTAAGTCATGTGCAGCTGGCAGTCTACGAAAACAGTCTAAAGCCACATTGTTTTTTTATGTTATTACTTTTGAAAAGAATAATTACACCCACATTTTGTCCTAAAGATGTTCTGAACTTTTATTATTCCTCCAACAAGGCACGTACACGCTTGCTGATCAAATGGATAAGAACACCTGGAGGCAACGTCTCCTGACTTCATTGATGTGGAAACATGCACAGATGAATATAAATCCATCAAGGCAGGTGAGGCGGGGGGGATCCTAAATTTGCCCCTTTACAGGATAGGTAAATCCACCTTTTGGCACATAATAAATGAAATAAAACTAAGGTCAGTCACAGCTTCCCATGTATTGAGAAACACAATTTCTTATTGTTTATGATCTGAGGGCATAGATTGCTGATGCATTATTAAAGCTAAGTAGATGTCGGCCCCATTTAGTCTCTCAATGGCAGACCTTCTGGGAGATCCATATGAAACATTTAGAGATCCCCCCTCAAAGGAAGAGAGGAAGGATAAAACTTTTTAAAAGGAACCAGATTAGCCACGTTGTTACTCCTGGCATCGTACCAGATAGACCATGCCATGACCGTGTTGATGGCGAGTGGTAGGTAAGCCAGCAAACGTCCTTTGGAATCACACCAACACTCTCCTCAAGTAAGGGGAGAGAAAAGCACTTGGAATGCTTGGTGCTGGTTCTGGCTCGGGAAAAATAAAAATAAAAGGAGATGAAAACGGAGGGAGAAGAAGATGGAGGGTCAGATTAGGGTGTCAAGAAGACACAGTGAGAGAGAAGTAAGGAGGAGAAACAAGGAAAAACAAGTGAAAAGAAAGTAGCAGAAAGAGAAAAAATGCTTTCCTTTGACTTTAACTTTACCTCACGGGATGAGATTCTCCTGAGGATTATTTTCAGCTGGTTCTTCATAAGGAGAAAAAAGTTTCCCCACTTTTCAATTATGCCCTCCGCCTCTTTTTCAGCCCCCAGTCCACATATGTACAGCATATATTATTTATATCATTTTTACAGGTAGATAGAAAGAAAGATACAGCTTTCAGAACAGCTGCTCCCTGAAACCTGCAAGAGCAGCGATTCTCCTCCAAAGCCAGTGGAAAACATTGTTTTAAGTTTTGCTTTTTATACCAGAAGTGAACCAGTTAAAAACAAAAAGACTTTTTTGGAACATTTTTGAGGAAATGTGGTCCACCAGGGATTCTCAGGGTGTCAATCTATCTCTGGTCGTGCCGAAATTGCCCACCTTTGGTTTAGACTGACAATGGGGAAACTAGCATGACTTTGTTAGTGACGAAGATCTTCAGGCGTGAAGCAGAAGGAAGCTACAGCTGCAGTAACAACTACTTGCAGTTCTCGAAGAGTCACAATTAGAAGTGTCAGCCCTAATCTGCAAAACCTTTTGGAGGAAGCAAGGATCATTAGTCTGTCCCCAAAAAACCATCACTGCCTCTTTTATAGAACGAAAGACTTTAGTACCTCCGAGCACACAGGGTTGTGAATTCACCCCTCCCTTTATTTGTCCTTCAAAAAACGTCAGATGTTGCTCCTATTGTGTTCACGTCCAGGTCTTGTGCGTCCAACTGCGGGAGGCCATTTATCTTTGTGTTTTTTAAAAAATTTAGAAAGGGGTGGAAAAAACATCATCATAGTAACTATTGATCTCTCTCTGCAATGTCTCTTTTCCACTTGTCTGCTAAGATCTAAGAGAAAATGGATTCATAGGAATGAAGCAGGGAGGAGGGCGCCACTGCAGAAATGTCTGCTGGTTTTGGTGCAGATCTTCCTTGAGAGATTATGGGGTGGGAGTTACCGTAAAGGTGGAGAAGCATGAATTATATAAAGAAGGGAAGTAGGTATGGAGCCTGGCAAGGTCTACAGCAGCCTCTTCCAAGCTAGCATCCACATCAAGTGTGTTGGAATACAACCCCACTACCACTGTATAATTGCTCCTAGGTATAACTCTCAACAGCCTGGCTGGATAGTTTGGTGGTTTAGGTCAGTGGTCCCCAACCCTGGGCCTCCAGATGTTCTTGGACTTCAACTCCCAGAAATCCTGGCCAGCAGAGGTGGTGGTGAAGGCTTCTGGGAGTTGTAGTTCAAGAACATCTGGAGGCCCAACGTTGGGGACCACTAGTTTAGGTAACTGGCTGCAGAGCCAGAGATTAGAAGTTCTATTCCCCATGGTGCCTC